TCCGCTTGACAATAGCCCAGTATTTCTCAATTGGGCGGAGCTCTGGCGTGTTGGGAGGGTTCTTGTCCTTGGGAACCACCTGCACGTTGTTGGCGGCGTACCACTCCATGGCCTTTTTACCGTAATGGCAAGATACCAAATCCGGCCAAAACAGTACGGAACAACCGTGTTTCTTCAGGAAAGGCAGCAGACGTTTATTCAAACACTCTTTCACGTAAATTTCTTGGTTGACAGTCCCGGAAGCTATGAAAATGCTACTTTTCAAGCCACAGGTACAGATGGCTTGCCAAACCAGATATTTCTTTGCGAACTTTGACAGTTTCATGTGCTTGAAAACATCTGCTACCTTTCTCCTTCCTTTTGCCGTATAAAACTCCTGTCCCGGAAGCTGCTTGTAGTCGGCTTTGACGTAGGTTTCGTCGTCCATTACCACGCAGTCAAACTTCGTCAGCATCGTCGTGTACAGCCTCCGGGATCGCGCTTTGGCCGTCGTATTTTGTTTATCATCGCGATTTGGAGTCACTACCTTCTTGTAAGTCGATAGTCCGGCTCGTTTTTTGGCTCGATGCACGGTTGTAGACGATACACCCAGCTTATTTGCGGCATCTCGGAGAGAGAGGTTAGGGTTTCGCTTGAAACTACCGGCAACTCTCTTTGTCGTCTCAGCGGCTTCCGGTTTTCGATTTCCCCCCGATCCAGACTTCCTGGCTGTCGACAAACGTTCCCCAAACAGTTTAATTACATTTGTAACGGTTGATTTGGCAACTTTTAGCGATTTTGCCAACTTTGCGTGCGAGTAGCTCGGATTTTCGCGATGCGCGAGCAAAATTTTGATACGCTGCTCTTCTTGCTTGGACGGTATTTTGACAACTGAAGAGTGAATTCCAAAATCAAAATAGGAGCAACATTCGACACACACACACACCTTCAAAATGAGGGGTGTTCAGGTTTTTTAAATGCAAAATTGAAAGAAATACGTCAAGTTGATATTGACCAAATTTTGACCGTATCACCCTTTAGAACATATATTTTACGACAAATCAATACATAAAAAGGTACTGTCTCGAATAACCGATTTTTTAGCGGCCACCCTAAATTACTTGCATATATAATCGAGTATAAATCGTGAACCAATAGAGATAGAAAATTGCCTCATTGAGCAAAGTTGTTTCAAATAATGTGTGGAACATTACGCTGGTCTATCTCAAATGTATAAAAAGTTGATATTTAGAACTCATCAACTGTATGGACCGCCCTAAAGTCTTACACATAAAAATATTGTTCAAAATAAATGAAAAAAAAAACAATTCCCGAAGAAGCTACATATAAAGGGTGTCCACGATGAAATTGCCACACTATGAAATTGCTCTAACTTTTTAACCGTTGGGTAGAATTTAATGAAAATTTGGGTGGATTTAGTTCATAGTGCATTATTTACATCCTGCAAGTTTTAAAGTTCTGTAATCAAAACTCGCGGAAATGGAGTCGAAAGAACAGCTCGTGCGTGATAAAATCTTGCGCATTCATCACGAGAACAAGGATCTCTCGCATCGTTCCATCGCTAAAACGTTGGGAATCGCGAATTCCACGGTGTCGCGAGTGATTAAGCGGTTCGAGGAACGGTTGACCACCGATCGGAAGCCCAGAAGTGAAGGAAAAAGTATTCCGTACAACACCAAAAATCACAACCGCGTAGTTGGGGCCTTCAACCGAAATCCGAACGCCTCCGTTAGGGATGTGGCTAAGAAGCTGCACCTAAGCCGAAGTTTTGTCCAGAAGGCCAAAACTAAGGCTGGGCTTCGAACGTTCAAGGTACAAAAGGCCCCTAATCGCGACGAGAAGCAGAACAAGTCCGCCAAAACCCGTGCCAGGAAGTTGTACCTCAACATGCTGACGAAAGTTGAATGCTGCATCATGGACGACGAAACATATGTGAAGGCCGACTTCAAACAGATCCCCGGCAACCTGTTTTTCACGGCCAAGGATAAGTTCAGCGTTCCGGAGCATGTCCGCACTCAGAAGATGTCCAAATTTGCGAAGAAATTCCTGGTTTGGCAAGCCATCTGCACGTGCGGGAAGCGGAGTGCACCTTTCGTGACCCAGGACACGATGAACGGACAGGTGTACATAAAAGAGTGCCTCCAGAAGCGGCTGCTTCCTCTCCTGAAGGCCCACAACGTCCCAACAATCTTCTGGCCGGATTTGGCCTCATGCCACTACTCCAAGGACGTGCTGAAGTGGCATGCGGACAATAAGGTCAATTTCGTGCCGAAAATGTTCAACCCTCCCAACACTCCGGAGCTCCGCCCCATCGAGGAGAAGTACTGGGCGATTATGAAGCAGCACCTTCTTAAACGACCTAAGGTAGTGAAGACAGTCGAGGAACTGAAGAAAGTATGGGTTTACATGCAAAAAACGGTTGATTCACAGGTTGTGCAGAATCTTATGGCCGGGGTTAAGGCCAAGGTGCGGGCATTTGCGTATGGACTGTAAATAAAATACGAGTAAAATGGTAAAATGAAGTTTAATAGTTATTTCTCAATCCCTGAAAATTTGATGGCAATCGGAAGAAAACTCGAATTTTGCGAATCAATTTTGTGTGTGGCAATTTAATCGTGGACACCCTTTATACCTAAAACTAATGATTAGGACACAAACAATTTATTCTACCTTATCATGATTTCTGGAACACTGTGCAATTATATTTATATATGGGAAATTGATGTAATGTCGGCCTGAAGGCCGCTAATTTGGGCCCATACATAAATTCAGCAAAATCGACTAAATTTTCAATAGCGACCAAAAATGTCCATTAGTACCGTCCCAATGACACGTTCATCTAGATACAATTGATAAATAGCTGATTTTTAGCGATGGGCTCAACATTAGAGCCATTTCCCCTACTGAGTATTATTTCCCATGAAAACATAATTTTAATTACCTTCAGTACTACTTATATTCTTTGTTTTTGTTTGCATTTTAACTCTAGTGCATCGGTTCTGTGCAGTGCTGTAAATTTTCATATCATTCGATTGAAGATGAACCAATACAACCATTCAATCAATTCTGTGTAAACGAATTCTCATATGACCATAATTTGAAGAGCCCCTTTCTCATTCGAAGCTCATTGTCACTGTCAATTGAGTCACTCACTATCATTTGATATACGACAGTGGAGTATGGAAGAAATCCAGCAAAATGGTCCCGAACAGACAAGTCGACCCGATGTCGGATCAATGTAAGGCTAATTTAAGGTCGATGTCGACCCAATGTCGTGTTGTTGTCGGGTCAATTTTGAGTTTATGTCGGGTCAATGTCGGGTCAACATCGGGTTGGGGTTTGATAGAAGTCAGGTTGGTGTCGGGTTGGCTTCGCCTTTACGCCGGAATGTCGACCAGAGCTCCGTTTGTGTGTAGGTTACACTCAATTGAATGATATATAGCGTTTCTCAAATGAGAATGATCCATGTTCAAATGATTTTGAGAATTTACAGCACTGGTTCTGTGTATTGCGTGCCCCGTACATTGTCCATTTAAAGTAAACTACGATTGATTTACCATTAAAATATCCACAAGAAGTGCCGTTCTACGCATATTTGTCCCATGTAACTTCTGGACGTTTTTCACTTTTGTTCATAAAACAGTACCTTTTCAGATAAACTTTGGAATGAAAATAGAAAAACATGTAATTTGTTCTGGGCTTACATAAAAACAACATCAAGTCTAATAGTCCCATGTTGAAATTCTACGCATAACTGTCTCACAAAGATGTTTTACTCTGAATTTATCATTAACGAATCGATTTACGTGAAACAGGATTTATATGATCAAAAGAAACGGTATGAACCATTTCGGGAAGTAAAAGTTTTATTTTATGTTGAAAAATATAAACAGAAACGGGAATTCATATTGAAACACCAGTTCAGAGTTCTAATTTCAAACAATGCACTCACGTAGACACTATCCACCCCCACACCACACCCTATAGTGTCTACGTGTTTTATGAAAAGCCCCTAATAGGGGAAATTCAGGTAATGTCAGCCTAAGTGTCCCTAATTTGGGCCCATACGTAAATTCAGCAATCGACTAAATTTTCAATAGCAACCAAAAATATCATCTAGATAAAATTGATAAATAGTAGATTTTTAGCGATTGGCCCAATCTTAGATCCATAGGCCAACATTAGAGACATTTCCCCTATAATATAATAATACGTAGTATAAAGGTCAACTCCGTACTAAAGAAATCCTTACTGTGCATGTTAACTCTTCCAAAGTATTTCTTGAAATCTTTTGTCCACAGCATGTCAGACACCATAAATCTATGGTCGGAATCAAAATGATTAAACACAATCTCCCTTAGGCCTACGTTCATCTAGCTAAGGAGTAGAACAAGACGCTAAGAAGTTTTTGTTCTTCATAGAGCATTCATCATTAGTTTCACGAGATTCCCTGGTTTTGTAGAAGTAGCAAACGACGAATGCAGCAATGTCAACAAACTTATTGTTGGTATCAGTAAATTATGCAAACCTAAGCAAACTATCCAGGAACTTCCAAACGTTCGCGGAGGTCGCAAGCACGCTCATGCAAATACATGAGTAAGACGGAAAACGCAACGTGCCCATCAAAGCAACACGGAAAATAACCGTTCCTAGTGGGACTGACATGCGTAGAATTTCCTACCTTATTGCAAATTTCTCGGCATGACAGTCCCACTAAATATTGTTCATATAAAAATAGGCTCAACTGATTTCATTGAAGGCAATTTCTTTAGGTTTCACTAAAAATTTATTCTGTTGAGCAATGCACTATATATATTTTTTCTCCAATGAGCAGAAATGATTCGAAACAATATTCGCGATTTTCTCAGATGCAATATTTAGAACATGTGACAGATATGCGTAGAACGGCACAGTACACTATTAGAACAAGAACTTCGGAAAATGGTATCAAAACGGCAGAAGTTTAAAATTTTTAAATATTTTTATTGGCTTTTCTATGGACAGATTGTATTCATAATACTTATAAAAAAATTGAACCCTGAATAATGGTAACGCTGAGAAGGGGGAATAGTTTTTTTTTGTTTTCCATCCACTGATTGCAAAGCTAGTTCACTTTCACTGCTACAACCAATCGTTCCTGTATCACAGAGCTCTACGCGAGTTCACTTTTGTTGCCTACTTAAAATCACAGATGTTTTCGGTAATTCATTCAACACGGCCTTCACAACACTGCCGCAGTTTTACTCTTTCGCTTCAGAAATTGCATCACCATTTGAACTTCACTGTTGGTCATATTTCCAAAGTCATCCGGCTTCAGTGCGCCAACATCCAGGACTTTGGTTTTTTTGGAATTTTTACGAAGCTTTGTTCTGCCGTTGCCGTTTCCATTATTTCCATTGTTTCCGTTTCCGTTATTGCCATTGTTTCCATTATTATTGTTGTTGTTATTATTTGTGTTTGAATTGTTATTAGTATTCGTATTTGTGTTCGTATTTGTATTTGTGTTTGTATTCGTATTCGTATTTGAATTGTTGTTGTTGGAACTAGTACCGTTGAATCCTGGGTAATAGAACCACCAGGGGGGATATCCGTAGTAGGGATAGTTCCATATTCCCGAATTTTGTTGTTGTTGTACTGGAGCGGTCACAACCGTAGTGACAGGTTGACTGACCGGTTGCTGAAAGTTTGAAGTAACGATCGGCGTGCTGATGGCGGCCAATCCTCCTAGAAGTCCACCAGCTCCCCCTCCTCCATAACCACCATATCCTCCGTAGCCACCATAGCCGCCACCGTGCTTGTACATGTACTTGGTTACTAGGGCTCCCAGGGCGATCATGTTGGCCGCTGCGATCATTTTCAGTCCTAATAGTAACTTCAGCGGGATCAGCAGTAACTGAACTGCCAGAACGGGGATCCCCACTACCAAAAGCGCAATCAGTAGGTACTTCAGGGAAGATGCTATCATGGATCCTATATGGGCGAGTTTATGGTCGGATATGGTTACGTGCTGGATACCTCGGAGATTCGAAACATTGCTAGGTTCCTTCCTCAAAGAAAGCATCGGATATTCATCATAGCTGGGGAGAAATCACTTATAAATTTTTCATCGGACTCGCACTATGCCATCACTCATTTCATAATACTCACTGATCTATGCTATAATCACCAAAACTATAGTCGTCATATATTCGTTTCTTCTTAAAACTATTGTCACTGTTGCGATACACACTAATCGCCGTGGATTTAATCGGAGGATCGATTTCGTTTTCAATTTCATCGATAGGGTATTCTCTCACTCGACCCCTACCACGATATCCATCAGTTAGCGCTGTCATTTTCTGGCTAGATGGCACGAAATAAGTCTTGGACTCTATCATGTTCGTGAAAAATGCCATAAATGCACCGGATATGATCAACCGGGCAACTGTCCTATTCTTATACCGATCGCTCATCGCCTTCCACTGTATGAAGATGTATCTACCGTACCGACGATCGCTCCCGTCACCACCGACGTTCATTCGAATCACGCGCTAAACTGAAACTGGACTCCGGTTGTGCGATCACTTTTATAGATAGTAAACGTGTCCGAGATCGATTGAGATGATGGATAGAGAGGAGGCGTGGATCGAGGTGCGGATACAATGATTGGTGGCACGCTGCGAAAATGGGAATGAAATAGAACCAAAGTGAGAACATCCGAGAGGGCGTACGCGAATTAATCGGGTGCAGGAGTAAACTGGAAGAAAGCACTGTTCTTTTAGCCAATCAATTAAACCATTGAGCAATGGTTAAGCTAGAGCCACCTTCTTGTTGTAATGAGAGAAATGAGTTAGCTATCGAACTATTCAACCGTAGAAAACAGTGTGCTATAAAAGTGTTTGAAGATCGATTGGTTATAGTAAGTACATTGCTTTCCCAGGAACTTTTGTTCATGTTTCTATTTCATACTAGTTTATCGCTTTTGCATTCGGTAATTTGTTTGATTTGTGAATTTGCCTTTTAAATTACCGCTATAAACGTATCGCAAATGATTAATTCTCGATAACTTTTTCGAATAGACGTATCAGCTTTTGTAAACAATGCATTTGATCGTCGATTTGGCGTAACTAGTAGCTCGCACACGCATACTAACACCGCTATCAGGTAGGACTAAATTTCCCCTATCTGATGGTAGTGTTAGCATGCGTGGGCGAGCTACCAGTTACGCCAAATCGACGATCATATGCATTGTTTACAAAAGCAGATACGTCCCTTCGAAAAAGTAATCGAGAATTGATGATTTATAATTTCAACCTCCCAAGGTACCCAAGGTGTTAGTAATTAAATGCTGCCGTTTTGACAGCTATGTTGCTAATTTGCGTGAAACAATACTGTAATTATTGTAGGCAAAGGCATATTTTCAGTTTGTCTCAGCTTATTTATACACTATTTTACCGCCATGTGGACTGGCATTTATTCATTAGAAGTATAGTTACACGTGACAAAAAGTCAAAGGCAAAACTGATAGAGTCAGGTTTGTTCAAGACACCAACATTTTCTTCAATTCTGGTCCACAAAAAAACACAAATAATAACGAAAACGGTGCAACCCTTGCAATTTCTCATCTTTCAACTTTATACTTTAAATTTCTTTAGAACCTGAGGAACATTATAATTTGATCAGATATTCATTGTCACTGTAGACACGCGACATGAATAGATTATGTAATGTGATCGCCGGAAGGTGTTTTTAAATAATGCTGTAATTGATATATTAGCTTACAACAAAGTTTGTTTTCTCTAATACGTTGCGTCTAAAAAATCATCCCGTGAAGGTTTTATTCCAAAAATTTACATTTATCAGGGCTGGTAGCAGGTCGCAACATTTTAGAACACCAGGAAAACTATTGGGAAATGCCTACAATTTCGATTAAAAATCGGGAAAAATATACCTCCTTTCCCAAAGGTATTTGTCTCTGATAGATTTTCAAAAGTCTTTCAAGGATGATTAAGAACTCCAAAGTAAATCCAAATTAAATTTTATGAGAATTTTAAAGGATTCCAGGGATGACACCAAGGTATATCAGAGAAGAATACCAAAGTTCAGATTACGAAAGTCTCATGTAAAATTAAGTGCTCTGAGAACCGATTTCTTCTTCTCCGCTTAAATATTAAGCCAGGTTTGACGTGATGCTAACACTACCATCAGATAGGGGAAATTTAGTCCTACCTGATAGCGGTATTAGTATGCGTGTGCGAGCCAAATCGACGATCAAATTCATTGTTTACAAAAGCTGATACGTCTATTCGAAAAAGTTATCGAGAATTAATCATTTGCGATACGTTTATAGCGGTAATTTAAAAGGCAATTCACAAATCCAACAAATTACCGAATGCAAAAGCGATAAACTAGTATGAAATAGAAACATGAACACGGTCAAAAATCACGGTAATAAAGAAAAAAAAAAGCCAGGTTTACCTATATAGTTAAACTTGGCTTAACACATATGAGCGTCGCTTTTGATTATTGTTTAAATTATTAGAGACGCAAAATTCAGCTCAGAATTTTTTTGGAAATAATTCTAAAATAATTGAGAGTGCATTTTAACGAGAGTTCTGAGAAGAATTCTATGATGATTGGATGAGAATTCTAGGTCCAATTCTAATAAGAATCCTGGCTCTGATGAAAATTCCATGAAAATCCCGTGAACTCCAAAGATGGTCTCTGCGGATAGTTCTAAAAGAATTCTGGGGTGATTTGTGACGATACTTCCAAGAGAATTCTAAAGAGTTCGAAATAAATTCCGAGATGAATTCCAATGGAATCGAATTTTGAGGATTCAATCCCAAAGGAATTCTGAGAAGAGTTTCAAAGTTTGTGATGGATTTTTGTTTTGAAAATTCTGAGGAAATACTATGGGGATTCTGAGGAGAATTCGAATTAAATTTCCAATTGAATGTAAGGGAGAATGTCAAGTTTATTCTAAGCAGATATTTACTAAATTGCTGAGGTTAATTGTATGGAAATTCTAAGGAATTATTACTTCATGCGTGAATTTAACGATTTACATAGTCAGAGATGCTTAACGTCAAATATCAGACTTAAAATAGAAATTTTATACGATCGATTAGCAGTTTCAATTATAGAGTTGATAGTTCCGTTATAGTACGGCAGTGTGAAAATTGTATCTACAGTCAAGATTCCTATAGTAGGGATTCGTTCTTGCCGGATTCCTATAGTACGGTTGCCACTGGATTCCTATAGTACCGTCGATCCGGAATTAACGAATACACGTAGCATATGGGATTTGAACTAATTGGGACCAAACACTGATTGTACGGCAATTTGAAGAGATAACTTCCTGATAACTTTGAAGTAGTTGTTAAGCAGATAGTTGGTCATCTTTTGGAAATAGTCACAAGACTGGTCCTGTGGAAGATCCGGAACATATGTGAAAGTGGTCGTTTTATGAAACTGATTCTAGAGCTCCGCGGTTTTTTCGAAACCACTCATAGACGTCTTATCACAATGAAATCAGAGTTATGATCAGAAAATGTACCCTGGGGGCTATGCGATAGTCCTTCGGAAGATCCGGAAAATCCGTAAAAGTGGTCAATTAAAACATATGACTTTCCGGTTGCAAAGTTTTTCCAAAAGGTGGTCATCCATCTTGTTAATAATTTTTCAGAAGACACAAGGAAGTTATTTCTTCAAATTACCCTACAATAAGAGTTTGTCCTCAATACGCTTAAATCCCATATGGTACGTGTATTCGTTAATACCGGTTCCTATAGTGCGGTCCCTATTAACCGTACTATAGGAATCTTGACCACTTTTGCGGATGTTCATGATCTTCCGGTGGACCATCCCGTGGTCCCCTGGGTGCATATTCTAGTCACAACTCCAAATGCATTCTGATAGGACGTCTATGCGTTATTTCGAAAAATCTGCGGAGCTCTAGGATCAGCTTCTTGAGTTTACCACCTTCACGAATTTTTCGGATCTTTCGGTGGACCATCCCGTGGTCTCCAGAGTCCATATTCCAGTCACAACTCCGATTTGATGTACTTTCATAAAATTAGGGTGACAAACTTTTTTGACTTTTCTTAATAGCTTTTTTGAAAATTGTATTTAAAAAAAAAAAACAATTTTTTTCATCGTAGCCTATTTTTCTCCAGAACAACCTACTGTGCACTAGATAGCATTTTCAGTCAGCTATAACATAAGGATAATAATGAAGTAATGAAATTGGGTTGTTAGCGGAATGCTAAATAAAACAGCAAAAGGGTTTATCTTCCATTTAATTCCACTTAATTAATTTTGGTATCCATGACAGATACGTATTTCGACTACAATGTGCAGTCTTCATTGTGCACATTGTAGTCGAAATACGTATCTGTCATGGATACCAAAATTAATTAAGTGGAATTAAATGGAAGATAAACCCTTTTGCTGTTTTATTTAGCATTCCGCTAACAACCCAATTTCATTACTTCATTATGATGGCTACCAAGCCTTTGGGATTTTCCTTATTATAGATTTTTCTCCTTTAGCTTGCTTAAATCTTTGGTTTTTATTAGTTAGGTAGGTTCCGATTCAACACATTGTAGTTTCATTTTTATACCTATGATCTTGACTTAGGGGATGAGTACTTAAGGGGGTTAGATTTTGATAAGTTCTTTAGTGGGAATGACACTGATGAAGACTGCACATTGTAGTCGAAATACGTATCTGTCATGGATACCAAAATTAATTAAGTGGAATTAAATGGAAGATAAACCCTTTTGCTGTTTTATAAGGATAATAAAAAAATTATTGACACGTCACTTTAAAGGGAAAATTTATATTTTAGTTCAAAACACAAATACCAAACTTTTTTTTACCGTGCATATTTTCTCCATATAACACCAACAATTGTCTAAAACTTCGCCCAAGACACCAAACCAATCGGACAAACCGTTTCCGAGATACAATTTTTTGAAGACATGTGCATTTTTCATAGGCCCTTCTCATAAGTAAGGCTAGATTCAAAATGGCGAACCAAGTATGCAAAACGGCGTTTTTCTTCCCCAAAAACTTGTATGCAAGGTTTCATGCAAATCAAAAAAGATGAAAATTACTCGTTGCTTTAATGATATGGAACCGCTCAGTGGTGGCAGGGGGAAACACTCCTCACCACCGCTCATTAACGGATGAGCTTGGGAAAGGAGATGCTCTATCCTATTCGTACCTTCCTCAAAATTGCTCTTTACTTTCATCTCCTCATCTATCGTATAAAATGTCCACTTTAATTCTGATATTTGATGTTAAGCATTTCCAACTACGAAAATAATCTATTTCCAAGAATTTTGTTGATTGTTCTGCAGAGAATTTCAAGAATGCAATATTATGTTTGTATAAGCTTATTTGCCTCTAAGTTTAAGAGAAGGGTAATTATTCTAAAAAAGTTTTTGAGATCATTCTGAATAAATTCTGTGAAAAGTCTTTAGTAAATTATCAAAGTTATCTACCTAGAT